AATACAACAGTGGCCTTTGGAAAAACTTAGGAGGACAAGATAAAACCACTGCTTTGTATGGTAATGAACAGGGTCCTCTTCTGTCGTCACAGATCAACCAACGTGCTTCTTGGAACTGTTTGTGACACATACATCAGTACCATCTACACGCCTACGTTGGATGCAAAATTTGACGTAGAAGACGTACGTATTTTTTGTCGTGATAGAAAAGACTTCTAAAAGCGACCTGATCGCGGTGACAGACCACTGAATTTGCTAGTTGGGCTACAAGGACTACATGTTCAAGCAGATTTTTCGCCGGAAAAATAGCGCGGTTGTGACGAACATGCAAGTCCAGTGCCGTCGAAAACACCAACTGACATGGTATTCTTATGACGGACGGCCGGCTTTCAACGTGATTATGTTCTGGTCAGCGCAAGATCAGCTAGCCATGTTATGCACAATATTTCAATGCGCAGAACCGAGAAGGGTAGCATCTACTATACCAACAATATAATCGTTCGCGCGAAAATGCGCTTCAAGTTCTCGAAGAAACCTGCGACTGTCCTGAACAAGTGCATTGATTAGTAGAAACTCAAGAATAAGCAAGTGATTCAGACCTTTCTGACGAATGCACTGAATCATCCTCGAATAGCTACAGATGAAATACACAATATTGTGGAGTAAGGATTTTTTGTCGGTGAAGCTTGCACCATTCCGCTATTAACGTACTTGACAACAAGAATAGCCGAAGAAACTACTAGACTGCTGCATGCACAGTTCGTTTTACACAGCTTGCCGTGAAATATTTTTATCAAAGTTCGGATTGACTCCGACTCTCTTGAGCGACGAGAATTGAGATTAGTCGGAGTCGACATCGAGACATATTGGGAAGAAACGAAGACATAAAATAATTTGTCACGACATCTTTGGAAGTCAATGTGGATGATGTCACAAGACACAAAATCTTCCGCCCAAGGATTTGATCGAAGTGGCCTGAAATATAAACTACCGTGATTAAGATAAGAAGCGCTGACGAACATCGTTGCTACTTTCAATTGTCCGATTGTTTATTGACTGGTCAATGCTTGGTTTCAGAGTTACACCTGGAGCGGGAAACATCGTACTTTAAGGTAATTCGTAAATTTATCTGACTGGTTATTTAATTGTTCATAAATCTCCGTGAAGTTCATATCGAGAATAAAATGACCACAAATCCGAAAAATAAAAGAACCTTGCAGGGAAACAATTTGCTTCTACAGAAAATACTAGTATGACGATATTCCACTATATTGATTGCTTGTTTTATGGTTGCAGCAGCTGAATATTCAGATCTGTCCGATAGTCTCATTTGATAAAAAAGAATAATTTTAGATTTTTACACTTTTGAGCAGAAAGTTGCTCTTTCACAAAGAACAATTTCATGAAAACAATATTTACCTCTTTCATATTTGGCGGATCTTATGTTTCAACCTTGATATTTAAATTGGAATGTCAACCGTCAGTCAATTTCGAGGGAGAGCATAAAGTAAAAAAAGACCAATATCTTAATGGAACAAGTAACAAATAATACACATAATGGATATTTTTACCGGGGTCTCATATGCGTTATTCCGAAAAAGTTTCTTGATTTTCTTGCGTCAAAAACAAGGGATAATCGACCATAAAAAGTTAGTCTACATTGCCTATAAATTTTTATAACTAGGCATAATGATATTTGTTATATCTTCGTTCGCTCAGCCTATCCCTCTGTCATACTTCCAGCGACCTAGAGGATCATGACTGAACTATCACTCCATTGTGGACTCTGAGCAAAGCATACGACAGTTTATGTCATCGCGGCTTTTTCACTGAAGTAAAAGCTCCTTAAATCTTCAGTACATCCATCTGTGATAAACATGAGATGCACAGATTTGGTGTTTCTTTTCTGTTATTTCTCCATTAATTAACAGCGCCGGTTGTTTAATATTTTTTTAGAACCCACGGAAAATTCAAGACAGGTTGCGCATCCTTCGTCCTGCCATAAACCCCTGACTGCACACATTCCCAGGTAATCTTTTATGGTCTACGCGACCGTGTTCTATCGTCGAGTAGCAAAGTAGATAAACATACTGTCGAGTGAAATCGGTTAATCCCAGTTTACGCACTGATTCTTAACCATGAGTAAAGTTAAAGTCCGAGCCATTTTTTGGAATAGAGAATAAAATGGTTACCAGGCAAAGCCGCGAGCCATCAGTATGCATATTACCGTTCGTCGAGGACTGCCAGAACCTTCGTTCATTGACAAACTGGATCGCTCAATTTCAGATACCATGTTAGAAGTATATGGTGCAATGAGAGTTGATGAATATCACTAGCTACCGACAGCTGCGCAGATTGCTAGCTCACCTCTGCGTCGGCAACTGAACAAAGTGACAGAATTAGTGAACATTCAAACATTAGGATAATTTCTGATATTGTCATAGCCTAATACGATACAGGAAACTTTCATTAATTTTAGTTTAATTAATTAAGAGCTGAATTACACAGCTTGACGTATAATAAATTTATGAAGTTGTTAATGGCTCGAAGCCAGAGAATTTTATAAAAACGTCAACATCAGATTGCTTAAATTATTTAGGTCATTTTCGCACACGGCAAAACGTAGTAGATGATAACCAGGTACGTTTAGTGAACTTAGTCTGGTGCAGATTCAACTGCCATTTAGTTATATTTAATCGCATGAAATTTCCTATGTATTACAAGAAATGCGTTGCTACAAGAATAAACAGCAAACATGGGAGGCAATGACCAAACAATAGCTAAACGATAAGGATTAACTGTAGCCGAATCCCATCGCTTGCTTCCTCGTGGCCAGTTTCTTACGGTCATGGTTGGCAATGCGACCCTTATGCTTTTCTTTATACTTCCGATCAGAAGACTGAGGCTGGGATTCTTTTCCCTCACCGATAGATGATTTTGCGTCCTTATTCTTACTGCTGGCTATGGATTTCGTTTCTTCAACGGGATTCTCGACTGCAACTTTCTTTTTGAACTCTTTCTTCGAATTCTGGGGTTTAATTTCCCCTTCCTTACTAGTGGACGGCATTTTTCTTTTGTCAGCATCATCAGCGACCTTGGCCTTACGAACAGGATTGTCAAATGCAAGCTTTTCCTTGTACTTCTTATTCGAAAACTGAATGTTTTGCTTTGGTGCATTCATCTGACCATCAGGCGAAACTGCTTCCGTATCTTCACTATCTTGAACTTGATTATCAACTTCATACACCGAGAAGTCCTTCATTTTTTCAGTGACCGCTCCCGTTTCACTGGCCAAGGGCTTCGTATTCTCATCTCGATCGGAACAGGTACTCGGCTCGTATCCCTAAAATAAACGGGCAGAGAAATTATGGCTTCAGTAAGCAAATTCTGCAAAAGAAATATGCATAAAACAGAGCCGAATAAATATAAAATATTAACTCATTGCTGATAATACTCTAGAGTATTTGCGCAACAGTCTGCTTGGTACTTTAAAGGTGCAGGGTTAAAACCACGGCACAGTGTAACAGGTCTTCCTGCTTATTAGATAGAGCAATTTCTTTAAAAAATGAATTCACTTCATTGTACTTCTTATCAACCAGTCGAGAAGCAGGCAACAGCAGAGGTTACGCATGGCATTGAAGCCACGTCGTGCCAAAACGCTATAGACTTGGAGATCATGGCGTCTGATGCCCATGCGCTGCGACTGCAGTTCGCTTTAACCGAACGCATTATGACTAAAATTAGCATAACCTACGGTTTAAACTGTAAAACATAATGCATAATATTCTCCTGTCATTTCTCCAGATTTACACGGAGAAGCGCCCCGTGCGTTAGTTCTAGGAGGCTACGGAACCATTAAGTAAACCACGGCAACATTATTTTAGCACTTGCAGCGCATGTGCACAAAATAGCATTAAATCGCAGGGTCGAAAACAAACCAACATACCTCATTCCGCAGGCATATATACCAAAAAAGAGCCCAGGTATTATGAGTTAGTTATCAAACTGCTTGTTTTCATCACAGGCATGCCGGTGCACAATCTATACGGTATTAATCCGGAGAAATTATAGCAGAATGTTATTCTTACCAGCGATTTTGACAACTGCAATTTGCTAGCGAACCCATAATACTGAGATTTACTTTTGCATAAGGATGTATGCGTTGTATGCATTTTCTTTGTGCAACATAAAAAGCTAGACTACAGTCAACAAAGTTGTGGAAGTACAAAATAAAGCGAGCAACAAGAACTGAGCCTCAAGATATGAAGATTTGCATAAATATTACTGTAGTTACAATAGTACTGACCGTTTTATAAATGAAACACCCGTTAAACTGTAACGTCGCATGTTTTGTTACCACTGATGACAAAGAACGTGAATTAACAGAGGATAGTAAAGAGACTTAAAAACAGGTCAATAAAAGAACTTTCGATTATATTATTAATCTCCTAATTCATGGTTCAAGGCAACAGGCTAACAGAACATGAAGAATCCAGTACTGATTGACGCGCTTAAGGCCGTGGACCGACATCATATTTAGGATAAAATATTTATTTGAAATAGCACGATGTTAAGAGAAACATGCATTCAAGCGTTTTGGCCACATGGTTCGTTATTTCATTAATCTTTGTGAAAAAATTGGCGACGACCTTCCCCTGGTGTCGTTCAAACCCAGCGATAGCTCTTACAGCCTCGTCCCATTCCACCTCTGGAAGCCAAGATACATAATGATTCTTTGACTAATAAGCCTATGCTTGACTCTTCCCAGTCGACATAAGCAGCAGCAGCGAAACCACAATTGGAGGTAAAAATTACGGGAAAAAAAGAAAAACTGCCGCATCTCTTAATTGACAAAGCTGCTAGATCGTCGTAGCCGTTTTTGAGCAAATACCGGGTCTCAAATGAAGGGATCATGTAACGGTCCTTGCATTCGATCTTACATACAATGTTTATCCTCTAGTTTTTCTCAATAAAACTTTCAATAAATTCGATCCCAGTGTACAGTAAACAAGAAAACTTAATTTTTAAGCCACTTCTGTCCTTGCTTTTAAACAAGTGGGATGACTACAGTGGGGTTATTATGCTTAGTCCCAACTGGGTTTTAAAACATTCTTTAAAAAAGTTCTTTAAACTTTTTACGTCGGCCATTTTTTATATGCTCTATTTCCGTCCACTAAGCCAAATCAATAGTAAAGGCTTCAAGAGTTCCATTTATCAGTCAGTCTGTGTCGATGAACGTCTACATCTTCAAGCTGTTGAGGTTGTTGAGGTAAACGCGTTTACAACGTTGCCGATATTGTGCCAGGACCTGAGCGTGTGCAGATGACTAACCGAATTTCGAGCATAGCAATTCGAGACACCTGACCCCGGCTATTTTCGACCGTCCTTAGGGGGTCTTCAGCCGGTCGGTTGAGAAACTAGTAGCTGGTTCCCATTCCTTTCTTAGAGCATTCAAAAAGCATAGCGAACCCATCGCAATGGCGACTTCTTAATCTGGAGAAGCACCGGCTCCTCACCAAGACTCGCTCAGACATATGAACTATGGACCACTTCGAGACGAGTAAGACCAGCGACTAATTTCAGAAGCCCATTTCAGTCGCTTGTGTCCGAGATCGAAATTTTCAGTCATGATTCACGACTTATGACATAGGAAAGTATGGGGACGAAGATCGACTTGAACATTGAGAGCTTAGTATTCAGGCCCAGCCCTGCTTTACTCACAATGGTTCAGGCTAGTTCAAGTAGAACGAAACTGGTTACTTAAGTCCGCCGGTCGATCTCTTCCTCAAATTTTCCATCAACAGTAAACACGACGCCGAAGTACTTGAACTTCTCCACCTGTTCCACTGATTCTTCATTTATCCGAAGGGAGCAACGGGTAGGGGAACGATAAAGCACTAGGCTTTTCGTTTTAGGTACGTTCACACACGTGGTGGTCACGTCGCACTCGGCTGCTAACCATTACATAGAGCAATGGTGATCAGTTTCAGAAGATGCCATGAATTTCATGTTGCTGAACATTAACTTAGCTTGCCTAACCGAGGATGCAAGTATACGTTAGAATGCGAATGTTTTTATATATCGCTAAGTCCAACAGCCTACCATATTGAAAGCCGCCATTCTTAATCAGTAATTCGAATAAGCTGATTGCGTGACCTTGATTTGCCAAAGTTATTCATCTGTGCTTATCAAGGGCATTCATGAAATTTTTCTACATCTAAGGATGGTCAGCAAATATACTCGCTTTAAACATCACAAAGATGTTATCCAAAAATAACAGACCAAAGGTTAAAATGAAGGAAATTTCAGGATGGTCATTTATAGATCCGTAAGTGCCACAGTGATCAGAAATCCTACGGCAATCTTACAGTTCTCATGGCAATTTTCAAAACAAACCTGTCTTTTTTTCAATAACTACCTGCAGTACTAAAAGCATACCTTTCGTAGAAACTTTGCTGAGAAAGTTTAGAGTGTTCATTCGTACAGTTAAGTATACGAAGAACTACCTTGTCTTGTCGAAATATGTCATTTAATAGTAGACTAAACAATTCACACGTTTGAATCTGAAAATGACACCATTGGATGAAGTCTAAGAGCGATGGTGAATAAAGGACTTAGCATTGTCATAGTCACCTGCTGTCTTGAAACATGAAACGAAAAGGTATACTCATTATTCACATGGGCACCTTTCTTAACCCAACTCCTGTTTATAAAAATTTCCCACATACTTTAACTTTGACTTAAACTCAAGGACACTGAGATGACTAGAAATACGAGTTATCCTATTATGACAGCACCTTGGTGCATTCAACAAATAGACATATCTAAATTGAATACTTCATATAAATTGGGATCTTCACCATCTGAAGAAATTTCAATCGATGTGAGGTCCGTACAGAGAGATGGAATTGGGTAATCGCAGGCGTATGTTTCATCGCCGTCGTAATCATCATTGTACATGAGGTCAACCTGCAAGAAACAAGTTATCCACATGAATATTGTTGCTTCATCATACGTAATGAGGATGAATACGTCGTTCTTCTTCGTCACGCCTAAGAAATCACAATGTAATAACTGCAACCTTAAATATTTCGAAATTTTAAAAGAAACAAAATCACAGTTGCGTCAATAAAAATGAATAAAATTCTACAGAAAAGCGATACGCATGGCCGAATGCTGATTCACGAGCAAAGCAAAAATTTTTAAGAACATTAACTTTACATGGAGTTTCTGATGCAGGACAAAGAATTTGACCGATATTACCATCCTCTACCAACTATAAACAACATGCAGTGGTATACTCAGAAAAATAATGCTTGAAAAGCTCAGCAAGAGCATATTTCGAATATCCAGAGGATCAGATAACAGAAACAACTGATTACAACTACAGAAAACTATTAATCACTGAAGCACTGTTTGTTACGATAC